TCATCATCCAAAGTACATGTATGAAGACACGAATTGGTGTCAACATACTTTATATACAGAGATATGAAAAATTGTTCTGTATACATGTAGTAAGAATTGTAATGCATTCCACTGTCATTTTGTTAAAAAAATCAATAAAAAAGAAAATAACTGAGAACTTTTCTTAGTTATCTGCATACAAATATATTCTCCAACTAGGGAGAATAGTCAATAAAGTGTTTCCAAAGTGGGTGGCGGGGGCCGGGGGGGGGGGGGAAGAAACCAAAATGAACTTGCAAATACTGTACTAAGAACTTTTTAAACTGAGATGTGCCATTTCATCAAAAACATTTGGTTTTTATTTGGAACATAGCTTAAGAGAAACAAAGTAATAAAAGTTTTTCATGCTGCTGAGTTAAAATAAAGAAGAAACTTTGATATTCTGATGCACACTAAAATTTGAGATACATTAGAAGGATGGAGATATAATAGGGTATGGAAAAACTGCATTTTGAGATGTCAACTCACTGAATTAATAAGGGAAGCTTTTTAATTTTAAAATGAAGAAATAGGGCAGAATGATATAGAGATGATTTTGTCCTTTGTATATAGTCTTTTATTTTTCAGCTTTGTTGCATTCAGGCTTCTTCTGAGGATGCTATACTTTGGTCTTTTAAACTGCTTGTAAGTACTTCTATTGACAACTTTTAAAATGGCTTAATTTTTAAAAATCTAATCCTTTCACAACTTTTTCATGGCAATCAAAGATGGGGTTTAGAACACTGTAGTTGAATCATTCTTTGTTTCTTCAAGGTCTTGATATTTCAAAGTCCATCTGATGTCAGCTAACTAGGGATAGGGAAGCAAGGAGATACCATTAATCTACCAAATGGCAGCTTAGGCTACAGGTTTTTTGAAACCTTAGAAGTTCACATCAAAGCTTTTGTGATAACTTTTGAGGGGTGATTTTAGTGAAGGAAAGCATTTTCTGTCAGCAATAGAGTAAGGGCAACATTAATATTGGTTCAAGTTCAAGTCAATAATCTTCATTAAATTTGTCTTAGCAATAAAAGTCACCATTAAATATTCCTCAAAGACAAAGTTAAGAAACCAAAATGAATTTACAGATACTGTAGCAAGAACAGAAGTGTGCCATTTCATCAAAAACATTTGGTTGTTATTTGTAAGACAGCTTAGAGAAACTAAGAAATAAATTATTTTCATATTGCTGAGTTAAAATCAGACTGCTTCACAAAATTTTCTTTCTTTGTTTTAGCAAAGCATAATTTTTTTGTATTCTATCTTATTTAAATCCTTAAAAAATAATCTAGTGTGCTTATTAAAAACATGATAAATGCAAAACAAATAGGTTTTCTTGGAGATGAATATATAAAAGAAAATTGTAGGAGGAACTTGTGTGCAAGGCCTAGCTCTCAGATTAATTTAACTTTTTGGTTTTTCATCTCCCTGTTGACTCATTGTCCTCTACTTAATGCTAAGAACTGATAAATTTCTTCATATGGTTCTACTCAGTGGTAAGAAGAAATTTGTGTATCTCCTTTTGACATTTCACTTTGAGACTTATTATGGAAGATGCATTCCCCCCCTCAGTAGTCTATACAAGTATTCATGTAGTTAGCGGAAATTGTGCTTTTACTATCAGTGCAAGAAATAGGCACACAACTTCTACTCACTACACGAGAAGAAAGTGTGAAGAGTTGATTGGCAGTAACAATTAATGTTGCCCAGAGGGTATGATATCATTATGGCAGGATTACCCAGAGGAAGCAATTCTGCTCACTCACAAAGAAGACAGTACAGAAGCTGTTTTTAAAAAAAAAAGTATAAAAGTTCATATAATGCAGTTTAAAATGACAATAGAAAATGGAAAGCAGTATTGCAATTTGGGGATAAATTTCTAAAAGGAATGCAATTTAATGCATAAATTTCTCCAAATTTCAATATTATTACACTTGGGGCAGATAATTATATCCGTGAAGGACATATTTATAGAGATAACTATGCTTGTGCATAGCTTTCCTAAAGTGAAAAGATCAGATTGATACAATTAGCTATCAGTCAACTTCACTGGTATTGCATTTTTTTTTTTTGCATTGGGGATTGAACCCAGGGGCACTTTACCACATCCTCAGCTCTTTTATAATTTTTTTTAATTTTAAGACAGGGTCTTAGGGTTGCTGAGGGTCTTGATAAATTGCTGAGGCTGGCTTTAAACTTGCAATCTTTCTGCTTCAGTCTCCCAAGTTGCTGGGATTACAGATGTGCACCATTGGTATTTCTTTTTTTTAAATATACCTATATCTATCTATATATACATTTAGTTGTACACAATAGTTGGACACAATACCTTTATTTTATTTTATTTATTTTTTTATGTGGTGCTGAGTATCGAACCTAGTGCTTCACCCATGCTAGGCTCTACCACTGAGCCACAACCCCAGTTCCCCCCCCCCCTGGTATTTCTTTAAGGTCAGTTTTTATTTTTCTCTTCCTCTCTTCTACCGTCCTATCTTTTTTTTCCTTTTCTTCCTTTTTTGATTTCCTTCTCTCCTTTCTGTTCCCATCTCTTCCCCCTCTTTTCCTTCCTTCCCACTCTTCTGAGCTATTCAGGAAGGAGATGAGGATATGTTGATATGTTGATTATTATCTTTCTGCCACTGAAGAATTTTTACCATGTTCAGAAAAATCTATGAGATATTGAAAGAAGATTTGTTTTTGTTTTAAACTTTTTTTTTGTTTGAGGGAAAGATTTGATATAGTCCTCTTTGTCAGAAAGTAAAACGGGACTGGAAATACACACACACACACACACACACACACACACACACAAGCATCTATACACTTCACTTTTTGTTTGAAGGTCTTTCATGTCTCCTTTACAGGACATTATAATGTTCTATTGTAAAAAAAAAATGTTTGCACAACTTATAGAAACATGACAATACAGCTTTATATGATGCAATATAATTCTGATACAATTTTAAGAGAGGAGAGCAAAAGTAGGTGTGGAGAATGAGAAGGAAATGGTAGTCTTTTGCTAAGTAGTCAAATATTGAATTCACTGTATTTTTGAATTACAATAAACTTTGATATACTTGGCTCAAAAAAATTCAGAAGGAAACTGCCTGAGCTAGGCTGCAAGCAAATGTTTGATATACTTTTGACTTGTTGTGGCTCTGTGTGAGAGGAGAGAAAACACTGAGCAAATATTTGCACAGTATCCTGAAAGGAAATAAAAAATGCATTACAAGTGAATTAGTCAGTTGACCTCATGTTGTTTGATTACAAGTAATTTCAGTTGGATTGTCTCATTGCCTGTAAATGCTTTTCCTTTGATTCTAATAAGGACTCTGCCATAAATACTTTGTGAGTAGCTTCATGTTTCCTTTCATGATCCCAGTGGACATGGCAAGGACCTCTTTCCCTCTACATGGGGCCTGTGTTTTACATCCTACAAAGACCAAACACAATTGCATTTAACCTATCCTTTCTTCAGAAAACACTTCTCAATTGTCTCTAGTTTCTCAGTGTTATAAAATAAAAGGGACCAGGTATAAGGGTTCTCTAAGAGGAGTTAACACTTAGTGTTTTCATTTCAATGGTAATTAAAATGCATAAATACAATCATAATTAGAAAGGATCTTAGACACTGCAGGCAATTTCTAGTTTTGTAGTTTGGATCGAAGTTAGTTTGGGGCAGTAATAGTAAATATCATAACTTTACCTGTCACCAGTAAATGATAGGACAGAGACTGACTAAAGGTTTACATGATGTGTTTGGGACCCCAAATAATTCCAACAGTTTGTTGTGTTCCTGAAAGTTTTTCTGGAAATAGAAAAAAGGAAAATTCAGTTACCTACACATGTTAGTTTAGATATGTTAAACTCGAATCTATATATAATATAATATATAATATATAGATATAATAACAATAATATAATAACAATCAGTGTTGAAAGCATATGGAAGCACCAATTTAGTTTCATCAAAACATCATCACTTTACATTAATGTCACCAATTTGAATTTTATTGACTTACATTTTTAACTTATATTCATGTAAGGGCACTATTTAGGGTTCATATTTAGGTAATGTAATAAAAATGATTTTGGTTGGAGGTATGTGTGTTAATTTTTTTCTGTATAAAGGTTTTACCCTTGAGTGGTGTCAGAGATAAACACAGGCAGATGTTTAGGTTATATTCAGTAGCAACTGATAGTAACTGAATTCCATTCCAGTTTCTGCACAGGTGACAGGGTGTTTTCGGGGAGGATGAAGGAGAGGAGAGGGAGAACTACAGGATCCTGAGCAGAATTAGAGCAGTAACAGATTACAAAAACAGGAACATGGAGGTTGGCCCATGTGAAACCCATTAGGTTTACTCACTGGAGATCATTAAAATTAGACTTCCATCCTTCCAAGACTTCAGGGAGACAAGGGCCCTATCTTTAGGTATTTTCTGGAATCAACAGTAAACTCTTTTGCTCTGTGTTTTCTCAGGCAAACACTCTAAGGGGGTGGTTCCTGTCATCCTAAGGATAGGTACTTGGGTTGCTAGAAATGAGGTTAGTGTTTCTTCAAATCTTTAGCAGTCAAAGTTGAGGCTTAGTTGAAAAGAGGGCTCATAGGAGCATGGCTAGAGTTTGGTCAAGGAGGGAATATTAGTGATAGTTACGAGTAGTAGTAAGCCTCACTTTTTTATGATAAACAGTGACTGCTATTTATTTACCATTATTAAAAAAGCTTGACTTTAAAATCTTAAGTCTTGGGCTGGGGATGTGGCTCAAGCGGTAGCGCGCTCGCCTGGCATGCGTGCGACCCGGGTTCGATCCTCAGCACCACATACCAACAAAGATGTTGTGTCCGCCGAGAACTAAAAAATAAATATTAAAAAAATTCTCTCTCTCTCTCCTCTCTCACTCTCTCTTTAAAAAAAAAAAAATCTTAAGTCTTAACTGAAATGTATATGAAAGGTGATTTTTTTTTTGTTTTGTTTTAGGGCCGAGATCTGGATTATAAAATTCAGGAATATAAAGGATCTGGGAAAATATTTTCAGAAAATCAAATAAGAGAATGGTTTATCCAGCTGTTGCTAGGAGTTGACTACATGCATGAGAGGTATGTTCATTTGCTCCTGGGGATCAGAATATATTTTAACAGTCATGTCTGGGTTTGAAAAGTGATTTTTTTGATTAAATTTGAAAGCAAACATCGGAAAGGTAAGTTGCTATAGTGAAACATCTTTTTAAAAATCTTTATTCTTTTTTCTCAAGTGTTTAATGATTATATCCAGAGGTTTTACTTTCATAACTTTTGTTGTTCTAGAAATCAAATTGGCTCTGAACACAGACAGAAACTTGTATTGAATACATTTCCTTGTATATGACATCTGTGAATTATAATTGATTCTCAGATATCTTAGTAGACTATGAATGCATTGTATATTATAACATGATTAAGTTATAAATTCCTGGGTATGCTACAAATGAATTGTGTGGTCACCTTAGAATGTATTAGTGCACGTTTAGCTGGGTCCATGTCCCAAGTAGAGCTAAGTAACTGATATGGAAGATATTCTTTGGCCTCACAGAGATAAATATTGAGACAGAAAGTCAATTTTGATGTGAAATATCTGATAATGAAGGTCAAAGTATGTTTTATGAGTTTCGGTTATCTAGAATTTTTGTTTATCATCTCTCCCTCAATGATATATTTTAAAACTTTTTTATGATTATTCTATAGGTAAAAAGTAAGATATATAGGATTTTAAATGTTTTATAGATCCACAAAATCATACAGATGAAATTGAAAAGGTGAACATACACAGATAAAGTGGATAGTCTGAGGTGCCTGTGGTAACACTCACCTCTGGAGTGATATTATATGTGATAACATTCTTCTTGATCAGAAGTGGTAATTTTTAGGCTACCCAAAGGTCTGGCTATTCATGGATATCAGATTGCTTAAATGTGTCATCTTTTTTTTCTAATAGCATAAAAAGTAATCAAATTATCCTGTAAATTGACATATGTCTTCTGAAACACGTGCTTGGTGATGCAGTTAGTTACTGATTCATTGACAACTCATAGCAAACATTGGGCTAATGTCAAAATGTCCTGTGACAATTATGAATAAATATAAAAATTACCTTTTAATAAACTACACAAAGCTGCTGACTGTAGACTTCCATGCACATATAGTCATATTGATGTTCCTTTTTGTTTTAAACTACTTCCAGTTATGCTGTTAACTTATAAGGAAAACAACTAAACACACACACACACATACACACACCAAGACTATGGCTTTCATATGCAAAACATAAAACTGAAATCTAGTTGATTTAACAACCCCAAAAATTTTTGATGCACTTGAGGCTGCTTAGTAATTATGTAATAATTAAATAAATAAAATGAGAAATAAATAATTAAAATTAATGAATTTAAAATAAGCTTTAAAAAGAGAGGATTATATTTTTGTAATCCTTCAATATTCAAAGAATATCATTAAATGCAGCTAAGTATTTGGATATTTGTGGATCTGTGGATCAGAAATACCATCCTTTGTGATTTAGATAACAAATGATGGTGCATTTTATTTATTGCTATTACAACAATCAATTATTGTAAAGTTTTTATGTATAGGTGGGGAAATGCCAATTTTAAATTTAGGTTCATTTATTCATTCACTACTTAGTTATAAATTAACAATAAATTCTAATCTTAAAGAACTGTTAGTAAACTAGCAGAGATAAAACTCATACTCATGTAGCTATAAGCCCAGTGGGTGCCCAGGATTCATTGTCTTTACTACGTAATAGATTCATGAACTTGGGCAAGTTTCATAATCTTTCCAAGTCTTTGTTTCTTCATCTATAAAATAGGGATAATACTGGAACCCTCCCTGCTAACTTTGTAAGGCTAGATAATAGATAATATATATTGAGATATTATACATTTTAAAAGATTACAAATGGTTAAGCTCTGTGTAACTTCTTGAAAGAGCTGGCATCTGATATAACATAGGTTTGGAATATGGTGAAAGATGGGTCAAGAGCTTTCTTGGTTTGGGGGACAGAGTGAGCAAAAGCACAAAGATGGGAAACTGGCACTTTTAGAGTGAGTAGCAGTGGTTCAGTTAGAAAGGCTCTTGGAGTGCATGAATGAATAAAGTTATGGACAAAGGTAGGTTGAGATCAAGAGAGCTTTATTTTGTAGCATACACACTGTATGCCACAGGAGCCTTTTGAATGGAGCTTTGTGACCAGCATTTGCTTTAGGAAGATTAGATGCTAAATTATGAGGAGAGAGGGAACTTTGGTTATTTACTGAGTTTATAATATCCATGCAAGAGTTTATGAGACCTGAACCAAGGTGGCAGCAGTGTGCAGGGTTGGGAAGGATTCGAATTAATTAAAATTAAAATGGTTGGACTTGAAATTTAAATGGTTATGTGAGATGTGGTAGAAGAAAGTCAAAGATGAATCTGAGATTTTTCTGCCTGGATGAGTGATAAGTTAGATAGTTTTGAAACAATGGTGTTGAGTTTAATTGTGAATATGTCGGAAAGAACACAGAGAATGAGGGAAAGGAGGAGAGAAAAAGAAAGGGGGGTGATAAAGGAGTTAGAAGTGAGGTTCTAGGTCTTGAGGAAACATTGAGGCTTGTCTTTGTTTGGGTTCCTTTAATATCAGAGTCCTGAAATGAAGTCTGGTGTATAAGTAGTTTATTTGGGAGATGATGTCATGAAGCAGAAGCCAGCATGTGGGAAGAGTGAGACAAAGAAGTGAGAAAAGCTATACAGGGTGTTGTATTGCGCTGGTGCTGCTGTAGGTGGAGAGATCAGAGGCAGGATTCCTCCATGTGTATTTTGGGTTTTGGATTCCTCTTTTTGCATTCTCTCGGGGAATTTTCAAAAATTCTTGACCATATGTAACTGTTGTTTCCTAGCACCATTATGAGTTCCCTCTTGTGTAATATTTTATATTTTGGGGAATTTTGAATGGGATAGAGAAGGCAAGTGTCTTCATCTTGATCCAATCTCCAGAATAATTCTTAAATGGAGAAATGCTGTATATTTTTATAGTCATAAATATATGAACTAATTTTACTTCTGTTATTTTTCAATATTTAATTTAGTATTTAAGATGTAGTTCCTTCAGAAAATAAGCACACTTAATTACTTGTTTTAAAAACCATTTAAATCCAAACAAATGATTTTTTTAGCATGTGGCATAAATGCCTATAAATAATGATATTAGAATCCAGGAAAAGTCACTGTTCACTAAAAGTTACCTTGTGAATGTATCAACAAAACTCATTCCTAAGACGGGGAGTCATGCTGTGTTAATAAAACTCAATGTCTCCTCTTTGTTCATATTGCATGTTGGCAGTAGTGGGCCATCTGCATGTCTGTTCTATTATTCATATTATTATTCATATTATCATATATTCATATTCTATTATTATACATGTCAGTCTTATTATTCCAGTACCCAAACTGAAGAACCAGCTCCTAATTTGGACTTGCTTTTCTCATGGCAGAGGGACAAAGGAGAGGGCAACATTCAATGGCTCTTAGAGCTTTTGTTCAGATATGACAATAGTCCTTTATGTTTCACATGCCTTTGCCCAGAGAAAGCTATGACCAAGTACAGTAGCAGAGGGGTGGGGATGACTTTACCTCCCAAAGGGAGCATTCACTGCAAAGTACAAAAGGTGTGAATATTTGAGAACAAAAATATAACTTACTATATAACGTTTCACTCAGCTTTACATCTTTCAGGCTATAAGCAATAAAAATAGGTCTGTCTGCAAAGCATTATTTTAGCTTTTTTCTTATACAGTTTGTAGTATAAAAGTATATTTTGAAAATTACATAGATTGCTTACATAGGAGTTAAGGAGATTACTTCAGGAAGAATACATTCAAATGAAGAGGTTAGATTTGCCAACTCTTGCTAATGCACTGCAAAATATTTTAGTGCATTTATGGTTAATTTTATGTCAACTTGAATGGGCCACAGGGAGCCCAGATTAAAAACTGTTTCTGGGTGAGTCTTTGAGAGTATTTCAGGGTAAGATTAGTGTTATGGTTTGGCTATGAGATGAGCTCCCTGTCCCAAGCTTCTTTGTTAATGCAGGAATGTTTGGAGGTGAAATGATTGGATTGTGAGAGGTATAACCTAATCAGTTTGAATGCACTGAGTGGTGACTGTAGCCAGGTAGGGGTATGGCTGGAGGAGGTGAGTTACTGGGAGTATGCCCTAGAATAGTACATCTTCCCTAAAGCCCCTTCCCCCTTCCCTCTCTCTGCTTCCTGGCTGCCATGAATGGAGCAGCACTCCTCTACCACACCCTTGACCATGGTGTTCTCCCTTACCTTAGACCCAGAGCAATGGACTCTGTAGACCACGGACTAAACCTAGGCAACGTTAAGCCAAAATAAACTTTACCTCCTCCAAGTCGTTCTTTTTCATCTATTTTGGTCACACCAGTGAAAGTTGACTAACATAATTAGCATTTGAAACAATGTACTCAATAAGGTAGATCTATCTTCCTCCCCAATATGAGTGGAAATCACCCAGTCCATTAATGGCCTGAATAGGACAAAAGATGGAGGAAGATGAACTTACTCCTTTTTTACTTGTCTCACTGTTTGAGCTGGAATAACTCATTTTATCTCATCTCATCTCCTCTCATCTCCCAACTTGTACAGGGATTTATACTTTAGCTCACGTGGTTCTCAAACTTTCAGACTTAACTTAATTGCATCATTGGCTTTCCTGACCCTCCAGCTTACAGATGCCAAATTATGGGGCTTCTCATGTTCCATACTTGCATTATTTACTGTATTCATAAATAATATATCCGTTTTGTTTCTCCAGAGGACTCTGACTAAATAGTACCAGAGGAGATAAAGACAACCCTGAAAAAACTAAGAGGAATAAGATAACAGAAGAAATGAAGATTTTGTTCACAACTTTCTAGCTCCTCTGCACTCATTTTAATTTGGTTTATTTTTATATTTGGAATATTCAAAACATGTAGCATATGGCATAAACACATAAATAATGCTGTTAAAAGCTGAGAATAGGGCTGGGGCTGTAGCTCGGTGGCA